TGTTGTATGGGAATGTAACCAAACACAATAGACTGTTAGGGAATTCATAGTTCACTATATGCTGAATCCTCAGAAAAGTGCCTCACACAAAGAGGGCGTTCAGCAAATGCTTCAGCATCCTAAGCCCTAGCCTCACCCCCACTCATCTAAAATCTTGTACAATTGCTGGTTGCCTCTCACAGGTCCCATTTATATCCTGCAGGGACATAGCCAGACGGAAGTAGGAGATGGGACTGGATCCGGCACTGCTGGCTTTCAATCAGAACTTGCTGATCTCTGGGTCTGGGTCCTTTGTCCTGCTGGGGATGCCAGGACTGGAGGCTCTGCATGCCTGGCTCTGTGCCTGTGTGCCTGCTCTACATGGCAGCTTTGCTAGGGAATGCCCTTCTACTGGGGCTGGTGGTTGCTGGCAAGGCACTCTGGGCACCCATGTACCAGCTGCTGTGGCTTCTGGCAGCTGATGATTTGGTTCTGGCCACATCCACAGTGCCCAAAGCTCTGACGGTACTTTGGGGCTTGTCCAGTGAGATCTCATCTGGAGCTTGTTTGGCTCAACTCTTTGTTGCCCATGTGGCAATCATTGCCACATTGCTGAGTCCTCAGTGCTGCTGGCCATGACCGTAGACTGCCAGCCTTTGCTCTATGGGGCGTTGCTGGCCCAGCATGTGGTAGGTCTAGTAGCTCTGGCTACCATGACCCGTGATGTCTGTGTCATGGTACACCCTATGATCCTGCTAGAGAAACTGCCTTACTGTGGGCAGTGGGCCCTGCCTCACACCTACTGTGAACACATGGGTGTGTCTTGCCTGGCATGTGGAGATATGTTCCCCATGATCTGGTATGGACTGGTCACCACACTGCTCTCCCCAGCGCTGGTCATAGGGCTCATAGGTGCTTCCTATGCCCTCATTCTCCATGCGGTCTGCTGTCTGCCATCTGCCATCCCACGGTGCCTGCCACAAGGCTCTGAGTAACCGCAGGGCCCATGCTAGTGTCATTGGTCTCTTCTACACATCTGCCCTCTTCTCCTTCCTTGCTCACTGTTTTGGGTCTCACACAGTGCCCAGCCATATTCACATCCAATGGCTAACCTCTACGCAATGGTGTCCCCGGCTCTCAATCCTGTGGTCTATGGAGTGCAGATTCAGCAGATCGCTCAGAGGCTCAGGCACTTGCTTCAATTTTTCTGGGCAGGAGCAGTGAAGAAGGTTGGCCCTGAGAGGGCCTCCCTACAGGAATAAATGTGATCCCTATTTTCTTCAGCGTGCATACCCAGATGACCAAGTGATGCTACAGGACCCATCTGGGTAGAGCTCTGACTAAAACGTCTCCATTGTCTGTTGTCAGGTGGCCCTATGCTCACTCCAGCCCTATTTTATCACCCATTATGTAGGCGAAATACACTGAACTGACCTGTCTCTGTCCAGCTCTACAGTACCCAGTCTATTCCTGGTATTTCTAAGTCTGTATTGATCTCCATAGAGGGATTACACACATATAGAAATAGTTGGTCCCAGACTGTGACAGACTAGGTGGTCTAGGACACGTCCTGTGGACTAGGAGCTTATCTTTTCTCCATCAGTTTATCCAGCCAAAACCAGATTAATGAAACATGTCTCTGAGTTGGGCCCCTTGTACAATGTCTGACACTAAGCAGGAACTCTGTTTGCTAAGGGGATGAAGACAGGAGGAGCCGGGGAAATGGCGTTATGTGAATAAAATAGAACACAGCTCTGGAAATGGACATGGTTTCTGACCTGGGTGATTAATAACTAGAGCTTAGAAGACCTGTTGCTTTGGATGGGAAGAGCGTGCACAATACTGTAGCTTCCTCACTAAGCTCTTTCCCTACCTTACTCAGATACTAAGGCTACTCTTGTGTTTTCAACTTGTGCTAATGGCTGTTTGCAGATGGCAAAATATGGGGACAACTCCAGCAGCAGCTGTCATGCTTCATGCTCTATCTTCATGCTCTTTCATTTTTCCTTTCCTACATTCCTTCTTCCATAAGATGCCTTAGTTCTACTGTCACTCATCTGGATATTAATCCCAGACAGGTTTCCTGCTTCATGCAGCTTAGGTTTCCCAACCTATTCTTCTCTTATCTTCCTTACCTCTGTGCTCCTCTGGATCCTATGGCTACAGCAAGGCCAGGCTAGAGAAGCTAATGAAGAATGGATCTCTGGCCTTGAGCATGGAGTGAGAGAGTGAGAATCTGTAAAGTAAGATAAGGATATGACCTCTCCGCAAGGTTTGTCCAACAAAGCTCTGGGCATGTCTTCGTGGAGTCATACATCCACACAACTTCTCAAATCTTTTCTCAGAAGGGAAGTCGCAGTTTCATATACTTTTCTCTACTAGGTATATACCAGGGCAAGGATTCCAAAGGATGCGATGAGTAAGCAGAGGAACTTTATACTACGCAGCCACATAATCTAAAGTTAAGGGTCTGTGAAAAGTAAAGAAACAATAAAGGATAGAGGTAGTAGAGCTACAGAGTCAAAATTCCTCAATGGAAAAATGGGGCAACACACCCTTCATAAGAAATCTGACATTTTCCTAGGCACTTGGGCGAATGTGAGAGTCCCCACTGTCTGAGAAATACTCAAGAGAGATAGCAGAAGAAAAGAGAATAATTTTGGGTGGCTGGCGCTAAGAGCACTGAGTTTTGTGACTCCTTGTCCAGGCCTCAGCAACTATGCTCTTCCTTCTCTATAGGGATAATGGCAGTTCAGAGGCCAGAACACTTGAGGCTCCACAGCATCCTGTGGCAGGTTAGGAAATATTGGGAAGGAGCTTTCTTGAGGGACAGACAGTAGAGGCAGCTGGCATTAAGACCAGAGGAACTGGGGGAAGCATTTGAATAGTGGAATGGATGTAAAAGTTTACAGTACCTGGCATAGTGCAGGAGGCAAACTCGTAGGGGTGAAGGAAGATATATAACAGAGCAGTTCAGTACAGTATTGCTGAAGCGATCCCCCCAGATATACACTTTGGCCCTCATCCAAGTGTACCCAGTTAAGTAAATGCTTCTGTTATTGAGATTGAACAGGTAGGATTGGATTTCCTTCTTGAGTCTTCCCTTTCTCAAAGTTGAGGGAAACATCATAATCCTTCCTGCAAAGGGACCATCCCAAGGCCCCCGCAGGATGTCTCAGGTTTGCCTTAATCTGTTTAGACAAGAGGGCCCAGCAGGGTGAAGGAAGATCTAAGCCTAGGGATGGATGCAGAAGATGCTGTTTGTCATAATAAACTCACTACCACCATGTTTAGAGGCACCAGTCTGTCTCAACCTTCTTCTCTACCTTTCCATACCCTCTTCACACCTCCTTCATCTTCTCGGCCCTTTCAAATGTCAAAATATATACCCCCTCCTACTGAAACTATTTACTTAGACTAGAAATAAAAGCCTAGGGGAGCCCCAAGTACTTAATGCACTCCTGTAGTTGATGCAAGATGCAGCTTGTTATAGCTCTTCTGACCACTCCACAGCTGCTGCCCTTGGTGCTCCCAGGAGAGTCTCAGGTACAGGCAGAGGGTGGAGGGATGACAGCAGTAGGTGGAGATTGTTTTGTGCTTTGGGCTGGCTTCCTTCACCACTCTGATTCTGTTCAAGAACCTCCAGGTTCTGGGAGAAAGTGAGGGTAGACAGAAATAGGGAGGAAGAAAAGAAAGATGGGACACCCTGCATGTTCTGATTTTCCCTTTGCTTGTATGTATGGGCATAGGGTGAGTGAGGAAAGACAAAGGTGAAAGCAATAGAGGAAGGAACTCTCGGCTGTATGCCCTGCTCAGTTATGAGGCCCTGTTTTCTGCAAAAATCTGCCACCTTCTTCCTGTGCTCAGCATGCAGGAACTCAGGGTGGCTATAAAAGGCTATGCAATCTTTATTTTATTATCTTTCAAAAGCTAAACTATTGGGCTGGAGCTGCAGGCTGAAGTCATAACCAGATTAAGCTATAGTGCCAAAGCCATAAAAGCTATGAGTGAGACATCTCAGAGAAGGACAGGGGCCACAGACATTTTAAGTCAAAAAGATTTTGTTAGGAAACCTCAGTGGGTGTTGCATGCACATTAAAAAAAATTGGGAAGGAGTCTTGGTTGAATCTAGTGCTGGTTTATTCAGCTCCAAAATGGGACTAAGGGATGGATTTAGAGAAATATAACTAATATAAAGACTCTTACTAGAGGCAGGCCAGGCACTGTTCTAAGTACTTTACAAATATTCTATCATCTATCTATCTATCTATCTATCTATCTATCTATCTATCTATCAATCATCCCTTTAGCTCTATCTATAATTCTTAAAACAATAAAATAAATTCCACACTTTGCCCCATTATACATATTAAGACAATGGGGGCACAGATAAATTAAATAATTTGCCCAGTGTCCCAGAGTCAGGATTAGAACTCAGGAAATATGGCTATGGGATCAGTGGGTTTGGGTTCTGAGTATGGAAGTAATATGATAGGCATATGCCAGAGGAGAAGAGACCAAATTATGCATCTCTCTAGAAAATTTCCCTCTCTCTCTATCTAGCTGAGGCAAGGGAGCTGCCTCCCAGCCTTACCCTTTTGTCCTGTGCTGCATACCCACCCCAACATAATTTGGATCTCTGCCACTTCCTTAGGTGTCAGAGCATAGGATCTAAAACATAGATGGGACCTGGGGGCAGCTTGAAGCATTGTCACTTATTAGTCATGTAACTTAGCAAGATATTTAGACTCTCAGAACCTCATGGTTTTCAACTATAAAATGTGGATTACAATTCACCCTCTGTTATGTCTTGTGAATGCTCAACATCCATTCAGAATGATGCATTATGGTATTGTTACTGTTCCTTTGATGATTTGCAAGTCTGTCCCTGCTGTCTTCAATACAAGGTAAAGTTGTAGGCATCTGTCAGATCTCTAGAATGGGGATTCTGTAGACAACTGAGGCTTCCTAAGCCTATCCCCTAACACATCTCTGCAGACCAGTTTTGCTCTCTCCCACAGGGCTTTGAAGAAAAATCAGCTTCCAGCAATGTGAACTGCAGCCAGATCCAGCCAGTGCATGAGGTAGGGTGAGGTAGGCCCCACCAATAGGTTCTGGAAGGGACCTGCAGCTTCAATTCTGGGAAATCAAGGGAAGCATAACTCAATCCCCTAACAAAGGAATGCACGAACAGACAGTCAAGAAGAAACCCCTGTGCAGAGGTAATGCTTCTCTGGCACTCCAAAGTAGGCTCAGCCTCTTCTCCTGCTTCATGTTTGTAAACAGCCCAGGTTGACCCAACATGCTTCGTTATGTTTAGTGTGCCTATGGCCATGCTTTGCAGCTGGTGAGAAGTGTGTCAAGCTCTGTGGATGAAGGAGACACATGCCATTGTGTGGTTCACACACCCAACAACCCTATCCCCCTGGAGCAGCTGGAATAGCTACAAAGTAGAGTTCAGGAGCTCATTTGCAAGTATGAGCAGAAGCTGTCTAGAGAGAGCACTTGATCGCTGGGCTGGGGCTGGGGCTGGGAGTTATCCAAGCGTAGTCTCCAATAGACACGGCATTGAGAGGAGTCCTGGAAGTAGAAAATGTTTGAAGGAAGTGGCACAGCCCTCATCTTTGAGATGAATCTTTAGAATGAAGGGGAAATTCTGTACTATCTTTGGGATCTCCAGTGATAGTAACAGACTATAGAGAGGCTTGTGTAGGGGGTGCCTCCCATAGTAATGGATGAATTAATGGGTATGGACCCACTGGAAGATGAAAATAGGGCAATTTTGGTCTGGGAGGATGCAGCTGAATGGGAGGAGCCACAGGTGTTGACATTTGGGGCAACTTCCTATTCATCCCCTGCATGCCCAGGTCAGTGAGTATGCACACACCATTGAAGATAAAGACAATGAGGTTCTGGAAATGAGTCACATGCCGGAGTCCTGGAATCCCAGTGCCCTTGCTTTTCCCTATAAGAACCCAGCCTTCAACCTGCTGCACCTGGAACTGGAGGGAGCACAGAAGTTGGTGACTCAACTTATGGCCATTGGAGGCATTATTGAGGCAGCGGACCTTCTCCACTGACTCCAGAGCCAGGTATACAGATAGATTAAAGAATACCCCTCCCTAGGCCGGGTGCGGTGGCTCACGCCTGTAATTCCAGCACTTTGGGAGGCTGATGTGGGCAGATCACCTGAGGTCAAGAGTTCGAGACCAGCCTGGCCAACATGGTGAAATCCCATCTCTACTAAAAATACAAAAATTAGCCAGTTGTGGTGGTGGACACCTATAATCCCAGCTACTTGTTTTGAAGCAAGAGAATAGCTTGAACCCAGGAGATGGAGGTTGCAGTGAGCTGAGATTGCGTCACTGCACTGCAGCCTGGGTGACAGAGCAAGACTCTACCTCAAAAAAAAAAAAAAAAAAAAAAAATCCCTCCCTGTCACAGACTCCTGTCTTCTCTAACCTCACATATTGGACAAATTCTGATATTACTTCTTTCTGAGGACGAAGACTCTGAGCTGAGGAATATGACAGCCAGAGTTCAGTTTTTAAGAACACTCTGCAACCCACTTCTCGGGCATCTCATTTCCACAGGTGACTAACGCCAGTCTCACACTCAAGCTTTTGGCTGACTCTGACCAGAGCAGCTTTGGTGCTCTCCAGCAGGAGGTGGATGTCCTTGAGAGTCAACTAAGTGAATGTGAGAGACAAAAGGAGAAAGAACAGGCCTCCAGACACCTGGACCACCCCTCCCCCCGGGTGAGTGAACAGACTGAATTTCTCAAGGTCTTATCTCTTCAGAGACCAGGTTGGGAGTGCATGTTGGCTATGGTAAACTGAGGGGAGGGAAGAACAATCTTTTTGTTATTGTTGTTTGAGACGGAATCTTGCTCTGTTGCCCAGACTGGAATGCAGTGGCGTAATCTCAGCTCACTGCAACCTCCACCTCCTGGGTTCAAGCGATTCTCCCACCTCAGGCTCCCGAGTAGCTGGGATTACAAGTGCGCACCACCAATCTCGGCTAATTTTTAAATTTTTAGTAGAGACAGGGTATTGCCATGTTGGCCAGGCTGGTCTTGAACTGCTGACCTCAGGTGATCCGCCTGCCTTGGCCTCCCAAAGTGCTGGGATTACAGGTGTGAGCCACTGCACCCAGTCAAAGTACAAATCTTGATAGAGAATAAATCTTTCATTTCCTTGTTTTGTGTGTCACTGAAAAATGCAGACCAAGATTGATATATTCTCATACATGGGCATACGTATACACAGACATATGAACACCCCATAATCAGATATACGTAATAACCTATGTTTATGCAAAATCAACCTGCTGATATGCTTGTATATGCACTCAGGTGCATGGATACACACTCAAACCCACACATGGTTATTGTACTTTCACACTCAGCTACCTGTGGGTTGTGTGCTTTAGACTTCGCTCATATATTGCCTGCTTTTTCCCCTAGCTTCTTGTGCCCATGGAGGCCTCCAGGAAGTTAGCAAACCCCTTGTGGTTCAGCTGAATTGGAGAGGCTTCTCATACAAGGCAGGTGCCTAGGGCTGAGACTCAGTACCCAATCCAGCCTCTTCCCTTTACTGGATGGCTCCTCTACGCACAAATGGCAGGTGAGCCCTGAGTGAGTGACTTCTGTTCTGCAATCAGATTACTTCCAAATGTCCCCTACCTGTACCCAAACAGGTTTCTTTATAGCCCCAAGCCAGCTTCTTCTCTCTATTTTAAGTATGCCCCAAAGCAAACCTGGCCTAGGCCTAACAGGTCACCTCCTAACGCTTTTCTCGTGAGACAAGCATGACCCAGACTGCCCTGAGCTTCCTTCACAAATCCACTGTCTAAAAATTTTAATCCCATAGTAACTCAAAGATGGTTCTACTTCTACTCTGATTCTATGTAAAGGACAAACTCTTCTACACCTGGGCCTCAAAATTCTAACTTCCTGCTTAGAAGTTCAGAGCATGTCTCTGGCCAAGCTTGAGACTTGGAATTAGGCCAATCTGTATTTGAGACTCAATACTGCCATTTAAACTAAGTGACCTTGGGAAAATGAATTAACATCTCAGAGCCCTTCTTAGCCATATGTAAAATTGGGATAATTATACATATATGAGAAGATCACATGAGATTACATAGAAAAGTATGTAAAACATAGGTGCTGATATGTATTTATTAGATGAAAGAATGGCTAAAAGAGTCAATAAATAGATGAGTAAGACCCTCAATACATTGTCAGCCTTGCTAGGGAGGTAGGCCCAATACACAGAATGTTAAAAGTCAGTGTGTGTGAAAATGTAATATAGACCTGTTGTGAGAAAGAGACATGAATATAGGTTAAACCAGTCATTGAAGAGCCCTAGTTGAAGCTCAACTCAAAAAGATTAATGTTACTGAAAATTAGTGTTACTGAAAATAATGTTCCCCAATTTCTATGCTTATATAAAATGTATAGGCTATACTTTGTAGCATATAACTCAAATATGCTACACTTTGCAGCATATAAAATATGTTTACATGCCTTGGAACCCTCTCAAAATCTACGGGTAATCAGGACTTACAGAACAATGTTAAGAGATAAGATTACTCATAACTCAGAGATAATTTAAGGAACTTTCCAATGTGACCTCATGAGAACAAATCTCCCTGAATCCAGCTCCAGAAATATGTCCTGTTACAGGACCCTTGCATCTCAAGGACAGGTGGAAGGCGGTGGAGTGTAGATACAGAAGAATCTCCATAAGGAAGAAAAAATAATAGCTACCATTTTTTGATTGCTCATTGGAACAAATGCTCTACTAATTGTTTTCTTTGCTTTATTTTGGACAGTACTAACAGTCAATAAAGTAGCCTGTTATTTTTGTTTACAGTTTTTACTTATAAGCTGTGTGACCTTGAGCAAATGACTCAACATTTCTAAGACCTAGTCTCTTCATCTGTAAGGATAAAACCTACTATGCAGTGCTGTTATTATAATTAAATAAGATTATGCATATATAGTGTCTAATAGGCACTGTAGCTATTGGTGTTTTATTATTACTGTTACTTTTAAAAATAGTTGTTTAGTTTGTCATGGTTGAGTAAGTAAAAGATGAACTAAAGTCAATTGTTTGATAGCAAAGCCCCTGCTCTTGATCAGCAAACCAATCTGCCCATTTTTATAGCCCTTTGTTACCTTAGTTATTGTGGTCACCCAATAATTCCAAATGCAGGGCTTGGCCTAGGTACTTTGACTACTATCAGCTGTACAAATCCTATAATGACCTTGTGCTGCTGAAAAACTATGGAGAGAGGAAGATGGGCTATGGTGATGGCAGTGGAAACGTTGTGTATAAGAACTTTATGTACTTTAACTACTATGGCACAAGCAACATGACCAAGATGGACCTTTCCTCCAACACCCTGGTGCTGCGGCATCCGCTGCCTGGTGCCACCTATAACAATCACTTTTCCTGTGCTGGTGTGCCCTGGAAGACTTAGATTTTGTTGGTGATAAGAAGGGGCCGTGGGTTCTTTATGCCACTGAGGAGAGCAAGGGCAACCTGGTTGTGAGTCGTCTCAACACTAGCACCCTAGAAGTGGAGAAAACCTGGTGCACTAGCCAGTACAAGCCAGCCCTGTCAGGGGCCTTCATGGTCTGTGGGGTGCTCTATGCCTTATGCTCACTGAGCACCCACAAAAAGGAGATCTTCTATGCTTTTGACACCACCACCGGGCAGGAGCGTTGCCTCAGCATCCTGTTGGAAAGATGCTGGAAAAGCTGCAGGGCATCTACTACCGCCCCTCAGACCACAAGCTCTACGTCTTCAATGATGGTTACCTGATAAATTATGACTTCACCTTCCTGAAGAGAAGGCTACCAAGACCATCCACCAAGAGGCCCTCTGGGGTTCATGCTCCACCAAAACCTGTCAAACCTAACAAGGCTTCCAGACCCTGAGACCCCAGGGCTGGGCAGAGCATTAGTAGAAGTGTGCCCTCTTCCTTACCTCCAGGAGGACCACATCCCAAAGTGGTCATTGGTCCTAATGATTGGAAGACACTGATTATATCTAGTGAGTCCTTTATGTAATTAATATCTCAATCAGCATATTAAGGTTCCCTTTAATAATGGTCTAGGTGGATTTGATAGGGAAAAAGTAATATACTAATATTTAGTAAAATATTAGCTAAGAAAATGGTACCCTCTCTTTCTGATGCTTTGGCATCTCATATTCCTTTTGGAGAATCATAAATCCAGCTTCTGGAACTCAAGAGTTCTGTGATCTAGAATTGTCGGTTTCAGGTTGGGAACATCCGATTCCAGTGCAGAAGCTGTAGGGCAGCTGTTCATTAGAGTAGGATATGAAAGTTCCCTTTCTTATCTCTACCTTCCTGTGAGGCCCCTGGGGAGAAAATATATATATGTGTATATATACATACATGTATACATGCAGTATATACCTTTATATATACACATACACATATATAAAGGTATATATGTATGTATATATATAAAGGTATATACTGCATGTATACATACACACAGTATCACACAGAAACACACGTCCCACATTTAAAAATATGGTTTTTATTTACTTTTTTGTTTTCTTACTAGTTCCATCCAGAGAACTTTGTCCCTGTTTTCTGGAAAATTGTTTTATTTTATTGTAAAGACCTGGACCCCGAAATATGTCCTCGTTCCCCAGCTGGCCCAGGGTGACTGCGAGGATAGACTTGACATCACAATATCCCTTTTCTGAGGATTCATGCCCTTGGAGGGTGGGGTAGGAGGAGGGGTAACTCTAGGAGAAGTCATCACCACTTTGTCCACCATGGGTGAAGTATGAATCAGTAGCCATGCCAGGCCTCAGCTGGGCCACATCTGGAGAACTGGGGTGAGGGCACAACATCGCAAAATACCTGGCCCTAGCCTGGTCACTCATCCCTTTTTGGGCAACAAGGAAACTATCCTGTGGCATGAGAACACAATACCTGAGACAAAGGCCAGCAGAAATATTTGCCTGCCCCTACCCTTTCTGCCCCAGCTTCCACCTGCACCCCATCTGCCCGCCCACTAAAGCACATGTCGCATGCCATCTCTCGAACATCCAGGATGTCCCAGAGTGGATGTCCTTCAGGTCTTTCGGCAGACAAAAATATCCCTTCAAGTGCTACTCAAGTGATAGTGAAGACTGCAGGCAACCAGAAAGACTTTATGGTAGCTGATGACATCTCGGTGAGGCAGTTCAAGGAGATGCTATTGGCTCACTTCCAATGCCAAATGGACCAACTAGTGCTGGTCTTCATGGGCCGCCTTCTCAAAGACCATGACACACTGAGCCAGAGGGGCATCATGGATGGCCACACCATCTACCTGGTCATCATGTCCAAGCATGGCTCCAGATCTCTAGCCCATTCCTTCCAGGATCTGCCAACGAATGATCCCTGCCACTGGGACAGAAACACCAAAGGAAACAGCAGCGGGGTGCACCAACCAACTGGTATGAATCAAGCTCCAGTAGAATTGGCCCACTTTGTGGGGCCTGATGCACCCAAAGTGCATACCCAGAACTTGGAAGTGAGCCATCCAGAGCACAAAGCACAGGTGCTGGAGAATCCTAGCATCCAGCGGCTTCTGTCCAACATGGAGTTCATGCGGCAGTTCATCTCAGAACATTTAGACACTCAACAATTGATGCAGCAGAACCCAGAAGTTTCCCACCTTCTTGACAATTCTGAGATCCTATGGCAGACTCTGGAGTTGGCCAGGAACCTTGCTATGATCCAAGAGATAATGCAGATCCAACAACCTTCACAAAACCTTGAGTATCCACTGAACCCACAGCTGTATCTGGGCTTAGAGACAATGCCAGGTGGGAATAATGCCCTGGGTCAGAACTGTGCTGACATTAATGATCAAATGCTGAACAGTATGCAAGATCCTTTTGGAGGAAACCCTTTCACAGCTCTCCTGGCAGGACAAGTGCTGGAACAAGTCCAGTCTTCACCTCCACCTTCACCACCATCCCAGGAATGACAAGACCAGCTCCACAGCATCCTGCAACCCGAGTCATCTATAATAGCTCTGGTGGTTTATCTTCAAACACCTCAGCCAGTGACACCCCTAACAAGGTCAACCACACTTCCAAGGCCAACACTGCTATGATTTCCACCAAAGGCCAGAGCCATGTCTGTGCCACTCGGCAGCCAGCTGGGATACCAGCCTTACCTAGCATAGAGCTTACCCAGCAGCTTCAAGAAGAATACAAGGATGCCACTGTTTCTCTAAGTAGCTCCAGACAGATATTAGAGGGTGATCTCCAGCTGTCAGATGAACAGACCAGCTCCCAGATCACAGGAGGCATGATGCAGTCGCTTATGAACACCCCCTACCTGGCAGCTCAGATTATGTTGTTCATGAGCATGCCTCAGCTGAGTGAACAGTGGAGGCAGCAGCTGCCCACATTCCTGCAGCAGACACAGATTTCTCATCTGCTTATTGCTTTAGCCAACCCTAAAGCATTCCAAGCAATATTGCAGATTGAGCAGGGCCTCCGGCTGCTGGCCACAGAGGCTCCAGTTCTTCTGCCTTGGGTTGCACCTTACCTATGGGGCTTGGGTTGGCTTTCTGGCCCCAGCTGCAGCTATCCTGACACAGTGCTCTGTTCCTGGAATGTTTCGGATATACCCGAGCCTAAGGGACCTGAGTGCTGCCACGAACCTGGAACAGTCCTGTAGAGGCTATAATCCCCAGATGGGGACCCTTCTCACTCTCTGCAAGCTCCTGAGATTTGTTTTAGCAAACAGATGGAATCTCTCCAGGCCCTAGAAGCTGGGAACCACCATGCCAATCTACAGGCACTCATTGCTACTGAAGGGGACAACAATGCTGCTACCTGCAAGCTCAAGGGATCCCAGAGATTCTAACCACCATGCCTACTTCTTTGCTTGCCACCTGCCTGTTGACCCACCTGACCATCTCATTTGCCTTTTCCACCTCTCCTGATGCTTCCAGCCAAGAGAAGTCCTGGAATAGGAGTTATCAACCAGTGTGTCTTGTACTGAATAATAGATCACTGGCCATGGCTGGAACATCTGTCAACAAAATGGCTACACTCACTTGCCCTGATCTGAGGTTTGGCTTTACTTCTTTTGCAAAAAAAAAAAAAAAAAAAAAAAAAAAAAAAAAAAAAAAAAAAAAAAAAAAAAAAAAAAAAAAAAAGAAAGAAAGAAAAAAATAACTGTGATATTTTTGTGTCACCTACTATATATACATTAACACATAAACCACATGCACGTATTAATATAGAGGTGACAATAATGTTTTTATCTCTAAAACATGAGCATTTTGAGTGTGGTATATGAAACTTGAGCACAGTATATGAAACTGATTATTTTGAGCATGTCACCTCAGACAGGTGTGTGTATGTACACAAGCTCACGTAGTAAGAAATTCACATACAGAGGCGTATAGAGTCCACATACAAGTACACACAGCCAGGTGCAAACACGGATGCAAATACCTAGAGACACATAAACAGACCCATATGTAGGGAAAACAATCATAACATGCTCAAACAGAAAGGGAAACATTTTACATACATAGGCCTAGATGTTTAGTCATGAAGACTGTCTGAATTTCTCAAACCCAAATTGTTCAAGTTTGAAAGTGGAACAGAAATAATATGTGGGCCAGACTAGGGTGAATTCACATATCAACCAAGTCCGGATGAATAGTTATCATCATTGGAGCCTCTTACTCATTGACATTACCACCATTATAAGATGGTGATGGGTTATCACTACTTTCTCGTTAGCACACAGAGATGCAGCTGCTGCCATCTCCACTATATATCTCAGTCACCACAAATCCAGCCCTCCATGGGGCACAGCACCTTCCAAGAATATCATCTCCTTCGGTATATCTTATGTTTGTAGTTTACATTTTCCGTGGTTGCCCCACTTTTTTCTCTTTCTGCCTCACCTAGAGTATCCCAGCATGGCAGGATAGGCAATTACTTGTGTTTTAATTATTCCATGATTAAATAGTTTAATACACTCTTACCAGAATAATTCAGTGTTGTTTTAGGCATTGAAAAAATAGCAGTGAAAAAAAATAAAGATCCTTTATTTATTGACTTTACTGTCTTTTGTGGAGATACAAGTTATGTTAGGTGGTAAGTGCTGTGAAGAAAAATGAATCAGAACAAGATATTCTACCTAGGGTGATCAGAGAAGGCTTCTCTGAAAAGGTGACATTTGAGCAGAAATCAGAAGTAACTAGGAGAACTGAACATGCAATTCACTGGGAGAAGGATGATCCACGAGCTGTCTGAAAGTAAAAGCCCCAAGGGAGCAGTATTCCTGCTGTGTTTTAAGAGTAACAAGAAGGTGATATAGCTGAAATGGATAAAAAGGAGTGGGGAATGGGAAGGAAGTCAGAGAGATTGTGAAAAGTTTTATAGGTCTGGTGAAAACTTTGGATTTTACTGTGAATGTAATAGTCACTGGTGAGTTTTGAGCAAATAAATCAAATCATTCCATTTATCAGTCTGACTTCACAATGGAGAATGCACTGTGGTAGAGAAGAACCAGGGAAGCAGAGAAACCAGTTAGGAGGCTTTTACAACAGAGAAGTTGAGAAACAGTGGTTTCTTGCACTGGGGTGGGAGCAGGGGAGGTATTGAGAAGTAGATTCTGGACTCTAAAGGGGACCCATCCACAGAGATTTGTGTGCTCAACAAACCCCTTCTGAGCCCCAACATGGCCATCAGTAAGAGTGAAGAACAGGCTTACAAACTTTCAAGTGTTTCTAGAAAGCTCACTGCCAAAGACCCCTGCTTCATGTCCACACCTACCAAAAAGAAGTCTCAAGAAATAAATTACAGTGAAAATGGATTTTTTGCCTCCCCATTTAATATGATTAAGCTTCATACCCTCTCTGCTACAGCTTGCATAAAAAGCTCAAGCTATCCAGGTCATCTTTTTTATTTTCATCACAATATGCTCTGAAAATTCCTTACTTGACTCATTTTTCTACTCATTACCAATTTTCCAAGTCTTTTCATCCTACCATTTAGAAGTCATAACTTAGCAATAGAAAAACCCACATATCTACAACCTTCTTTCTAAAGATGACTATACCTTTTTGCTATCATGGAGATCTGGATGTTCACTGAAGACACTGCTTTTCCAGCAGTGGCTACATCTTTGTTTCCTTTGAACTTGGAAGTGGATAGATGTCATTCTTGCACCATCTTGCTGCTTCTCAGCCCTAGTTTTCTGGCTCCAAGATTATTTCACGACCTATGAATATAATAATTGTAGCATAATACTTGCCTAGTTAACTCATTATGGTGATACTGAACTCTTCACCTAGTCTCTGTTTAGGCAAAGAAAAGCATACAACTGTGCTGACTAGTTTCATTTAAACTTATTACCAAAAGATTTAATTACTGTCTTAGCAATCCTAACTGCATTTTCCCAGTCCAGTAATTCTCACCAGAATCTGCACCAGGATCACCCAGAGGGTGTGTTAAAATACAGATTTCTGCGCGACATTCCAAGGGTGTCTGATTCAGTAGGTCTACAGTAGTGTTGAAATCTCTCATTTCTAATAAGTTTCCAGGTGGTGCTAATGCTGTCAGTTTGGAGATCGTACCTGGAAATCTACTATCCTAGTTAACTCACTAAATTATTGTTAGTCCAAACTGCATCATTTTGTAAACTTCCCACTATTTTGCAGACCTTGGTCAAAGTGAAACATTTCACAGCGGTTCAGGCTATGAGAAACATCCTGCCTAACCACCTGACCACAAGGCGGACAAAGGCCCAACTAAAGTAACAACCCTATCATATCTTGCTAGGCAAAGGTCCATTGAACACCACGATGATGTCCTACAGAAACAAGGACCAAATTGCCTCATCCTGAGAACATCTTATCAATATCCTGCCAGGCAGCAAGCCATACTGCTCAGACCACTCGCTCCCGTACCTATAAACTACCCCAGCCTGTAAGCAGCGGTGGGCTCTGGCATTAGGCTGGTCCCACACTTCTTTAGGTTTTATGCTAGATATAAAGCCTGCATTTGCTGTGTTTGTGTGTCTTTCTTTAACCCTTGCCTTCCCTTCGAAACCTAACTCTTATTCTTTCAGATGATCAATTCATATCTTGTTTTCTCTTCTCTAAATCTTAAAAGTTGTGTTTATTTCAACAAGAAAGACAATAATAATCAGAAGGGACTTCTACCTGTGTCTACCATGAAATCAATCAACTAGCTTACATCTGTCCCAATACACTCTGCCTCCCATGCATTCTGCTGTCATGAATAAACTGTTCATATCCCTAAATCAAGCTCTCCACATGGGCACTTGCTCCCAATCTCTCTAACTTATCCATTCAATAACTTAATAGTTTTCCCTTTCTCATGCATCAATTTTTTCTACTCATTGGATTGCTTCCATCAGAATATAAACATCACACACTATTCTTAAGACAAAAAATCTAAAAAGCCTTTAATCCCACATTCCCACATAGCTGTCATCCCCTTTCTTGCATTTATAATACCCTTACTGGATCTACTTTTTCCCAAACAATTTGCTTTTAAACACACTCTAATCAGGCTTCCTTCCTCTACTATCCTTCCAAAGCTTGTCTCATCATGGTCTCCAATTCTTTATTTTTTCAAATCCAGTGGCCAATTCTCAATCCTCAATCTCCTGACCTAGCAGCATCATTTGACATGGCTGGTCACTCTCTCCTTTTTGAAACTCTTCTTCCTTTGGCCTTTCTCTTTTCTCTCTCTTTTTTTCTACCTTATTGTTTTATTTTTTCTCAGTTTCCTTTGCCAAATTCTTCTGATCTTCCAGATTTCTAAATGTTATAGAGCCACAAAACTCAGATTTTAAAATCTCTATCATTTTGCCTGTATGCACTAACAAGCTAATCTAAACCAGTCCATGATGTTAAGCACCCTTTGAATGCTAATAAACTCTGGACTTATAATATTCAACTACCATTGTACATCTCCATTTGTATGTAAAATAGACATCTCAAATGTATGTAAAACTGTTTAGCAACCTGCTGATTTAGAGAAAGTGCTTATTCCCAATCTTTATTTTAGTAAATATTCAGTCCTTTGAGTTCCTTTGGAGGATAATGATTTCTTTTAAAGTAAAAAAAAAAAAAAAGAAGAAAAATTATGTCATGCTTGACTCCTCCCTTATACCCCAAATCCTGTCCATCAGCAAATCAATACTTTGAAAATACGTAAAGAATTCATGGTTAATGTTGAATAAGACAGAAAACTGGGACATAGGATACTAGGAAGAAGCCCCTGGACCAGGAAGTAGCTGAATGAGGGTCTGAATGGTGACAGAGAGGACTGAGAGATGTTTTATAATGTTCCAATCCCAGTCTGAGCCTCCACAGAAGTCTCTACAGGAAGGCACTTGAGGTGGAAGAAGTAGAAGTGGTAAAAGATGGGACAGCAAGAGTTCCCAGGGATCCGGAGCTCGTTAGAGAAGTCTCAAGAACCTTCTGATTGAGGCTGTGACGTCAGCACTGAGGTCACAGAAGGGACCTGATAGTGTGGGTTCTGACCCAGAAGGCCACAGGGGTGGCTGTGTAGCAAGATGAGGGAGGTTTGGAGCCTTGCATAAAGAGAAGGACGGGACCACAGCTGACTGGTATGTACACCCCAGCCTGGGCCCTTCCTCTTACCTTTGTCTCTGTACTCATCAACTACAGACCTCTTTCCCAGGGCCCTGTATTTCCCTCCCCTGATTCCAACATGTCTCAATCCTGCAATCCTCCTAAAGCATCCTGCCCCAGAAACCTCATGGCCCCTTTCATGTAGACCCTGCAGCTTTCCCTATCCTGATATTCAAGCCCCTTTTCATGCTCACCTTTTCTACTTTTGCCATTGCCTGAAAGGATGATCTTGGTCTCCCATCCCCATGCCCCTAGCTGTGTCCCCACAGACCTGGGCCTCCTGCTGCCACCATGGCCAAAGGTGGAGAAGCCCTGCCACAGGGCAGCCCAGCACCAGTCCAGGATCCCCACCTCATCAAGGTGACAGTGAAGACGCCCAAAGACAAGGAGGATTTCTCAGTTACAGACTCATGCACCATCCAGCAGCTGAAGGAAGAGATATCTCAGCGCTTTAAGGCCCACCCTGATCAGCTTGTTCTAATCTTTGCTGGCAAAATCCTCAAGGATCCTGACTCACTGGCACAGTGTGGAGTGCGAGATGGCCTCACTGTCCACCTGGTCATCAAGATGCAGCGCCATGCCATGGGCAGTGAGTGCCCAGCTGCCTCTGTCCCTACCCAGGGCCCAAGTCCTGGATCACTCCCTCAGCCAAGCTCCATTTACCCAGCAGATGGGCCCCCTGCCTTCAGCTTAGGTCTCCTCACAGGCCTCAATGGGCTGGGCTTGACCTATCGTGGCTTCCCTGACCAGCCAAGCTCACTAATGCGGCAGCATGTGTCTGTGCCTGAGTTTGTGGCTCAGCTCATTGATGACCCCTTCATCCAGGGTCTGCTGTCCAACACAGGCCTGGTACGCCAGCTGGTTCTTGACAACCCCCATATGCAGCAGCTAATCCAGCACAACCCTGAGATTGGGCATATTCTCAACAACCCTGAAATTATGCGGCAGACACTGGAGTTTTTACGTAACCCTGCCATGATGCAGGAGATGATACGTAGCCAGGACCGGGTGCTCAGTAACTTGGAGAGCATTCCTGGTGGCTACAATGTGCTTCGCACTATGTACACAGATATTATGGACCCGATGCTTAATGCAGTCCAGGAGCAGTTTGGTGGCAATCCCTTTGCCACTGCCACTACCGATAATGCCACCACCACCACAAGCCAACCTTCAAGGATGGAGAATTGTGACCCTCTCCCCAACCCCTGGACTTCTACACATGGAGGCTCAGGTAGCAGGCAACAAAGGCAGGATGGGGATCAGGATGCAGCTGACATCAGAAATAGGTTTCCAAACTTTCTGGGTATTATAGGACTCTATGACTATCTCCAGCAATTACACGAGAACCCCCAGTCCCTAGGAACTTATCTACAGGGGACAGCATCTGCCCTCAGCCAAAGCCAGGAACGACCACCACCAGTAAACAGAGTTCCCCCATTGTCACCCTCACCTCAGGAGCCGAGGTCAGGCCAGCCTCTCCCCAAGGAGTCAGTAGCAATCAAGGGAACGTCCTCCTGCCCAGCTTTTCTGAGATACCCCACAGAGAATGGTACTGGAAAAGGTGGAGACCAAGACGGTGCAGGGAAAAGCCCTACTGGACATAGCACAAACTTGCCTGATCTTGTCTCAGGACTGGGAGATTCTGCCAACAGGGTTCCATTTGTTCCCTTATCCTCTTCCCCCACAGCAGCCATTCCTGGAATCCCTGAGCCTCCCTGGCTGCCATCCCC